GAATTGGGGAAACAGGAAGAAAGGGGGGGAGACACTGCAACCACCCTCAGGATAAGCAGCATGAAAAGATGCCGGTAAGCCACCAGCCACATGGCAAGGTGTAGATTTATAGAAATGGGTTAATTTAAGATAAAAGAACAGTTAGCAAGAAGCCTGCCACGGCCATACAGTTTATAAGTGATATAAGCGTCTGAGTGATTATTTTATTTGTGGATTGTGGGACTGCGGGGCTTGGGGAACCTGGAGAGAAGCCCTCCAGCAACAGAGATCCACCTGCCTCTGCCTCCTGAGTACTGGGATTAAAGGTGTGCACCTGGCCTGAATTTTTTATAGTGCATATCTTGTTCATATTCTTTCCATTCTCCCAGCTCCTCCCAGATCCTTCCTACCTCCTTACCCAACCAACTTCATATTCTTTCTTTCTCAAAAAACAAAACAGCAAGGAAAAAAAACCAAAACATAAAAACATAAAACCAAAACCAAGCCAAAACAACAACAAAAAAGGAAAGCAGATAAACTAAAAAACTTAACAAAATAAAACCACAGAGTTCACCTTGTGTTGGCCAACTATGCCTGGGTGAGGGACCTGCGCTGGAGTATGGTTGATTCACCCTTGAACATTCCATTGGAGGTAACAGATTTTCTCCTCTCCCAGCACGAATTAACTGCAAATAGCTTCTTGGTTAGAGGTGGGTCTTTGTGTCCCTTTCCCTGTCTCAGTGCCAGCATTTTGTCTGGTTTGAACCTGTGCAGGTTTTAGGAATGCTGTCACAGTCTTTGTGCATTCATGTTTTGTCTGGAAGATCTTATTTGCTATGAGTCATCCCCCACCTCTGGCTCGTAGAGGCTTTCCATCTTTTCCTCTGCATAGAGCCCTTAGCCTTGAGATAAGGGGTTTAATAAAGGTGTCTTATTTAGGGCCAAGTGTTCCAGAATCTATGACTCTGCAGAGTGTCCAGTTGTGGGTCTCTCTGTTAATTCCCATCTATTGCAAGAAGAAACTCTCTGATGAGGGTGGAGTGATGCTCCATGGGCATGACAATGTCATTAGGAGTCATTTTATTGCTGTTTCTTTAGCAGAGTAAGAGTAATACGTTTTCCTCTAGGCCCATGACCTATTTAGTCTCAGGTTTGAGGCCACTTAAGTAGTGTTATGTATGCCTTCCATCTCATAGAATGGGCCTTTAAATCTACTAAAAAAGGGTGGTTGTAGAAAGAAAAGTTTATCTGAGGAATCAAACTGCTGGGCTGTCTGGGCAGGAAGGATGTGTGTGGACAGAACAGGAAAAGCCTTGTCAGTTTTAAGGAGACAGGGAAGGAGAGGTGTGGGCCAGAAAAGCCTGGGAATTGGTGCAAGGTTAGTCTGGAGCTAGATGTTCTTGCCAGAGGCTGGGTTATGGAATGGTGGCTTGTAGCTAGAGTTTTCCTGCCTTGCCCACAGTCAGGACAAATCTCTGTCACCCGCCAGTCCCACAGCCGCTCAGACCCAACCAAGTAAACACAGAGACTTATATTGCATACAAACTGTATGGCCGTGGCAGGCTTCTTGCTAACTGTTCTTATAGCTTAAATTAATCCATTTCCATAAATCTATACCTTGCCACGTGGCTGGTGGCTTACCGGCATCTTCACATGCTGCTGGTCATGGCGGCGGCTGCAGTGTCTCTCTGCCTCAGCCTTCTGCTTCCCATAATTCTCCTCTTTCCTTGTCCCACCTACTTCCTGCCTGGCCACTGGCCAATCAGTGTTTTATTTATTGACCAATCAGAGCAATTTGACATACAGACCGTCCCACAGCACTAAATGTGGTGGTAATCTAATTGTACTGAAATATTATTTTGATTGTATGTTAATAAATAAAGTTGTCTGGGGGTCAGAGCTATTAGAGCCATGGCAAGAGCCGGGCGGTGGTGGCACACGCCTTTAATCCCATAGATATCTGTGTGTTCAGGGTCAGAGCTATTAGAGCCATAGCAAGAGTGTGGCGGTGGTGGCACACGCCTTTAATCCCATAAGATCTCTGTGTGTTCAGGGATATAGTCAGCATTGGAGACATATGCCTTTAAGACCTAGGGGGCTGTACATTCAGACAGTGACGAGGCAGTCATGTGTTTGGGTTTACAACCAATGAGAAGGCAGAACAACATACTTTAAAAAAAACGAACCGACAGGAAGTAGGTCTCTTTTCGCGAAGCTGGGACAGCAGGAGGAAGGGTGAGATTTTAGCTCTGAGCTCTGACTTCTCGGCTTTCTCTTTTACATTGTTTCTGTGTTTCTTATTTAATAAGACGGTTGGTTACATCTACAGTGGCTTTCCTGGGAAACAAACCTGCCGAATGCTGAGTTACGATCCTTTTTTTTTTTTTTTTAACAATCTTTCTGTTTACCAGGTCAAGGCAGAGCCCTTCTGCTTAGGACATTATCACCAGCCATTTGGGGGGCCCCACTTTGGATCCGACAGTAACATTTGTACCACTGCTTCACCGGTATATCTTGCAGACAGGTTGCTGTTGTAGTCACAGGTTCATAGCTGGTAGTTACTGCTGATTACCTTTCTCCTCTGGTAGCACAGAGTACCTTCCAACACCATGCGTGCTAGTCTGTAGAGATGAAGCTTCAGCTGTGCACTAGTTCGATTTCTCCATGTTTGATGATATAAGTTGTGTCTTCAGCAATATGACCCTACCATGAGGTCATGGAGAGACATGAATAGCCTTGGCAACAGCCTGTGATGTTTGGAAATCCATGGGACCCCTTTGACCAACAGCTCAACAAGCTATATAACCTATTCCTGGCACTGGAGGCTTTGCTTGGTGGCATAAGATGTCTAGTTGGGCATTCTTTCCCCCACTGTGTGGTGATTCCATGTAAGCTCTACTCATATGTGTATATAGCTAAGGGAGTTTCTATAGTAGTTGGTTTCCACGTGGCCTTTCGTGTTATTTGTCCTCCTCGTAGCCCCGCACTTCACTTCCCATGCCGTCCCCAGTCAATCTTACTGTGTTTGCCCTTTGTCTCTTTAGAATACTGTACTCTATTTCTTCTTCCCTGGAAGATCTGCTGCTTCTCCCTGGTCCTTTACAAGCTACCTACCCTCTGTGATCATTCACTGAAACAAATATTTAAAGCTCAAAAACTAGCATCCACATCTACGAGAAAACACTCGATACTGGTCGTTGTGGATCTGGGTTACCTCACTCACGATGATTGTTTCTAGCTCCATCCATTTACCTGCACATTTCATTTTCCTTAACAGCTGAATAGTTTTCTTTGTATACATGTACCACACTTTATTATCCATTTATCGGTTAATTGATGGACATCTAGGCTATTTCCAATTCCTGGCTATCATGAATAGAGCAGCAATGAACATGGATGTAGGTCCTTTGGGCATATGCCAAGAGTGCTAGAGCTGGATCTTTAGGTAAACCAATTTTCAGCTTTTTGAAGAGGCCCCCTGCCAGGTGATTGACATACCCCACTAGTTAACTCTTTAGGGAGGGGTCAGTAGTATTTAAAGTTCTAATCTTTGGGGCAGATCAGAATTTTCTTCTCCACTCTGGCTGAAGGTTGAGCTTAGATTCCATTCTTTTGCTGACCAGGAGGAAGTAGTTTTCCTTTTAAAAGGGGCCTCAACAGAGTTCTGATGTCTCCATCTTTGCATACCGAAAGGAAATTTAAAATCCTAAATAGTGGTAGCTGTGAAAGTCCTTTCTAGTTTTACCTGGGAATCAGCAGGTGGGGTGCCAAGCTGAGCAGAGGGTAGGAATAGCCCCCCAAGACAAGCTGCTCTCTGTCCAGCTCCTTGTAGCCGACTTTGAAACCAGACAGGTTTTAACTGCCTTCTCCCTACAATGCAAGGCCAGATTCTCATTTCAAGATCAGCTAGGTCAACCCAGTGCCCACTATTAATTTCGGAACGAGGAGGGCTCACTGCCTATAGGCTGACATTGACCAAGAAAGAATCCCTAGGATGGCAGTGTACTTTAGTAACAATGAGCAAGTATGCCTCGATAATTAAAAAAAAAAAGTTAAGGAAAAATACACATAAGAGAAACTCTTCAGGCTGTTGGAACAGGTGGGGCTTTCCAACTTGGCGCCAGAGATTGGGTGGAGGGGACGAAAGCTGTCCTACTCCCCCATTTCCTGTATTAACCCCCCCCCCCAGCGCCTCTTCCTAACGTTGCTACCGAGGTCCTGTTATGCCCAGATCATGGGGACCCCCAAAAGACCACCACAGAGACCAAATCCTGCATGTGAAAGCAAAGAGCCTTTATTCCAAGCTTGGAGCTTGGTCCCTCTGTGTGTCCCACACAGTGGTGAGAGCAGAGAGCCCTGAACTCAGGTGGGGCAGGGAGTTTTTATCATAGCAGAGGTTGGGGTGAGGGGATTTCCAGGGTCCAGGACCCTGATTGGCTGACAATTGTCTAGGGGTATCTGTAAAACAAAAATAGGTGTGTGCTAGACTCAAGGACATCTGGCCACCTATCTAATGGTTGGAATGTTTGGGATGTCAGGTACTTCCTTACCCCTGGGTATATCCCTGGGTGGTATCAGCTTAAGGCTTTTCCTGGATCTGGGTGTTGCCTGCCAGTAAGCCTGTCACAGAAGCTGTGTTAGGCCCCAAAGCCTGTCATGGCTGCTGTGTGGTCAAGCTGTTTTGGGGCCCCTTCACAGTCCACTGCCAGAAAAATGCCAAAGTAGTATGCCCTGTAGCTCATCATTTTTAATTATGTGTCCTGAGTGCAGGCACTCAGAGGCCAACGGTATGAGATCCTTGGAGTTGGGGGTGGTTGTAAGGACATGCGTGCTAGGAATCAAACTCTTAACCCCTGAGCCATCATTCCAGCCCCTAGTTTTTGTTTGTCTGGGAGACAGGGTCTCACTGTAGCTCGGGTTTGTCCAGAACTCGCAGCAACCGTCTTTCATCAGCCTCTCAAGTGCTAGGGTTAAAAGGGACAGCCACCACGCTAGCAGGGACGCTCTCTTGCCTGAACCAGATAAACCGCATGAAGACTGCTTCCGAGGCTGCCAGCAGGGTAGCTAGATCAGAGGCTCTGCGTGGAAAAGCGGATTCACGTTCTGAGGTCAGCGACTGTAGGTGGGTGGCAGGTCAAAGCCCAGACACAAATGCAGGCCCCCACCTGCAAACCCTGGTCCTTTACTCGACTAGTCCCAGAGAAAGCCATTGTGATGTAAATGTGTCGCAGAGGTGTCCCGGGTCTTGCCCTGCAGAGTTATTGAGTAAAACGCCAGTGCTTCTGGGCCCTCGATGCGCTTGCCCAGCCCCGCGTGACTGCACGCACCCACGACACGGAGATGCTGCAGCGTCTGCGCTCCTCCCTGTGCCCGGTGCTCGTCAGTGGCTCTCCATTCGGACCTCCAGCGCCCGCCGCGCGGAACAGCGGCCCCGGGCTCGCGGGATTCGCTGTGCGCCACGTGTCGCCGCCGCGCCACGCATTCCCACACGTCCGCAGCTTCGTCATGGCCTGCTTGCCCCGGGGAACTGCAACCCTGGCCCGCCAGGTACCCGCATGGCGAAGGGCGAGGGGCGCCAGGACCAGCATCCCGCGGGGGACTCATTCGGGGGTCACAGCGGAAGGGGTCACGAGGCTCGGGGGTCACCACGGAGGATGCAGGACTAGGAGACTCGGGGTTGCGGCGGGGATGGAGATGATTCATGGATGCTCGGGGGTGGCCACCGGGGACTCAGGGACTGCTAGTCTCCAGAGAATTCTGGGGTCATCCCGGGGGTCTCCACTGGGGACACTACTGGGGACTGAGGGGGATCACTGTGGGGCTTCAGAGATCGCCACTTGGGAAGCTAGTGGGACTTGGGGAAACTCATGGTTCTCCACTGGAGACGCAGGAGTCGTCACTAGAGATGTTGGGGTCACAATCGGGGACGGGGAAAACTTGAGGGTCGCTACAGGGACTTGGGCATTACCAGGGGTAGCGGGGATGTCACCAGGGATGCGGGTGTCACAGCCCGGAAAACTGGAGGATGAGGAAAAGCAGTCCCCACCCCAAAATCCCACCTCAGTCTCTGCAGGCTTGGACCTCTTCCCTCCTTCCCAGCTATTTAGCAAATTAGCGTCCAGCTTTTGAATGCTTGCACCTTTCCCTGGTTAATTCCGAACTGCGGTATCTTTCATTTATTTAATTGCCACCAGTATCAAGAGGTTTTGTCCTTCAAGTGTGAGGTTTTGGCCGCGCCGAAGCACCGGGGACCCTGCGGGTGGAGACAATGGTTCCAGCCAGTCCGCGCTCTCTCACGCTCCAGGCAGCCTGCCTATTGTGCGCCCGTGATTGACAAGACCACGAGGCTGAGCGCTCTCGGGATTTTTTTTTTTTTTCCTTCTCTATAAATGGCTTAAACCCTTGGTCTAGACGACTCATTCGGACATTCGGGAGACAATTGCTTTCTTGTTCATTGCGGGTGAACCCTGGCTCCTGGGCTGACCTGGAATTTAAGGAGCCCCTCCCTAAACTACTAGAAGATAAGCCAGACCTGGGGAGGGTTGGGAGGCTGGGACATCACTCCAGCTGGAGCTGACACCGGGTGCTGGACGGTCCGGGCGCGGCTTTTCTGTTTTCTGTGATGGTGAGTCCCTAGATCAGGTCCCTGCAATGACCCACCCAACTTTGCTTAATGGAGGTTTAATTATTTTTATTTTTAAGGACTGCAGTAATGGATGCGCGGCGCCCTTTGGTGGAGAACGAGGATCAGAAGTGGCTGAGACTTTTAGGGTAAGGCGTCTGCGGGATTGGTTAAGTTAGAGGTAATGCATTTCAGGTTGAGATTGGAGGTTGAGGAATTTTAACTGTGTAAGTTTACACAGATTTCTTGAATTTTAAATTACAGCTGGGGAGGGAAAAAGTCATTCGACATTATTACCAGTCAGCAAAACAAAATTTACCTAGCAGTAAGCTGCTTGTTTTATTTTATGAATCAGACATTTTATTGGAAAAGAGTCAATTGATGAATAGGAACCTGAGGTTTTTTTTTTTTCTCTTTTCCTTAATTGTATCAGCTAAACTCTTCACCTTGCTTGTCCTAGAAAAGGCACTGTGTCTTCTCTCCTTAAAAATCCTACAGTCCAGGGTTGCATTTTCTTTCCATCTGAATTGTGTGGTTTATGTATGACATGGCCTCATGCTTCCCAGAGGAGTTATTGAAGGGACAGAGATAAAGATCTCATCAGAGTGCTTGACAGCCCTCATCCTCATCCGCCAGCCCCCAGCCTGGAGCGGTTTGCAGATCTCCATGGGTGCTTGACTGCGCTTTGCTGGCTCTGATACACGTTGCCAATTGTCATCCATAGTACAGACTGTCCTGTGACCTCACATCCTGGCAGAGTTCAGAGAGGGGCTTAGTCCCACAGGGGACACTCGGGGTGTGGGGACAGTGCTGGGGAATGCTGAATTCAAGATAAGCCCTCTGCTCACAACTGTTTTGTTTTAAACCAAAATATGGTATAATATGCTACAGTGAGCTGCTGTGGATTTTGTCTGTGTGATTTCTGGTGCACTGAAGTAATTCCCCAGTAGCCCTAAGCAATAGGCTTAGCTGCTAATCCTTATAGACTGCTCGGTAGTTTCCAAGAGGCTGTAGTCAGTGGGTGTGGGGCTCAGTTCTTTCACAAGTGCTTGCCTAGAATTCCATCCCCAGAGTCTCCCAGGACTCGGCTATCTTACATGAAAAGCTGGTGATCATTCTGGCTGTCCTGGAACTCCGTGCAAACCAGACTGGCCTTGGATTTTTGCTAAGCTTTATAAGACAAAGGTTCACTGAGTCAATTTCTCAAAAGAAATTATTATATGTTTTTCAATTGAAAGGACTTGATGCTTTTTTTATACAAAGTATTCAGTGCACGATAGACTTCATAGTGAAGATAATGTATTTGTTAACTGAAGTTTGTGTGCAGCTTGGTTGTGTGCTGATGTCCGCCCACCTACTCTTCTTGTGCTCTTGGTGTGGCTTGAGACAGTACTGATCATCTGATGGGTTCTATTGAAAGCTCAGTGCTGGCTGTTGAACCCAGGGTCCTTTCACATACTAAGCCAAGAGTCTCTGTTCCAGAGTCACATCCTTAGCTTGGATCTTCGCTTCTGACGATTTTCTGTCTGTGGTCCAGGTCTCTCATAGATTCTTTCTTATTTTTATTGTCCCTTTCCCACTGTGACAGGGTCCCATCAAAGTGAGGGTGATGTTTTCTAGCTGGGCCTGGAAAGCAGTCATTTATTTACTTATTTATTAATTATTGTAGGAGGATACCATGGTGCGTGTGTGGGTGTCAGAAGGCAACTTGGAGGGGTTGTTTCTCCCCTTCCCCACCTTGACTTGAGCGTGCTAGAAAGAGCACAGGTGTGTGCAGTGTGCGCCTTTGCCCTCAGCCACCTTACAGGCCTTTTCTCTCAGTTTTTTTTCCCTAAAGATCTGTTTTTAATTATGTGCATGTGTGCGTGCGTGTAGTAAGTTTGTGTACATCTATGTGAGTGCCCTTGGAAACTAGATGCATTGCATCCTCTGGAACTGTAGTTACAGATGACTTGTGAGCCTCTTGGGAATCGAACCTGAGTCCTGGAAGAGCAGCCTGTACTCTAGCTGGTGAGCCATCTCTCCAGCTCCCTTTAGCTCACTCTTTTAAAGAACTGTATTTATTACCCCTGAGTCTTACTGTGGACACCAGGGTCCTCTTCGAAAGAAATGAGCTCTCTGCATCTTACAGTTTCCCCGATTGACCCCAAAGCTGTAGCATTTCTTCTTCAGACCTCTGTAGGTTCTCAGAGAGGACCCATAGAAAAGCACTGAGCAGACCAGGCAGTCTTTCTCAGTGGAGCAGAAAGCTGCAGGCGCTCATGCAGAGCCTAGTGCCTTCCAGTGCTGATTGACGTAGTCTGCGCTTTGGATTTGTTTGTTTTTGTATCCAGTGCAGAGAAGAACGGCTGGGCTCGGCGAGGAAAGTGTCCAGGTGCTTCCTCATCGTAGATATCAACAGAAGATTGTTTTCCTTTTTTTTAATTGAAAATATTTTTACATGTTTTTGTTTACTTACTTTGTATATGTGTGTGGGTCTATGCATGTGCAAATCAGAGAACAACTTGTAGGCATTGGCTCTCCCCTTCTACCATGTTCCAGGTATTGAAGTTAAGTCATCAGGCTTGGAGGCGAAGTACCTTTACCCACTGAGCCAGATAGATGGCCCGGAAACTTGTTTTTTCTTACTGTTTCCCAGTTAGCATGCTTTCCTTTAGCCTTCCAGTTCCCTTGATATAAAACGTCACTGAACAAAAACTGGTTGGTTGGTCCCCTCCCCCTTCTTCGTTCTGAGACAGGGTCTCACCATGTAGCCCAGGCTGGCCTTGAACTCATAGGGATCCACCTGCTTTAACCTTTCAAACACTGGGATTAGAGGTGTGTACCAGCCCATCTGACATTTAAAGAAAAAAATCGATTTATTTTTGCTTTGTGTGTATGAGTCCCCCCCCCCTCTCTCTGTGTGTACCACATGCATATTTGGTGTCCACATAGTTCTGACTAGGATTACAGAGCACTGTAAGCTGTCATGTGGGTGCTGTGGTCTTAACTGCTGAGCTATGTCTTCAGGCCTCACCCCCACCTCCCTGTGCCCCCAGCCTTTGCCTTTAATTCCAGCACTCAGAACATAGAGGCTGGTGCATCTCTGAGCTCAAGGCCAGCTAGGGCTATATAGTGAGACCCTGTCTCAAAAAAACCTTGTCAGAAAACAAACAAAATAAAAACAAACAAACAAACAAACAAACAAATAAATAAAACAAGAAACTCTTGATTTCCAGAATTGCAGAAAGGAATTTAGAGTTCTTGGTGAAATTTTGTGTTACTTAGAAAACAACTGGATCCAGGGCGTTCTTTATGTTCAAGTCCGGACGAGAGGGGTGGTAGTCAGAGAAGATGCTGTGGTTCATACAACTGGAAGGAAGCCTGGACATTTTATCATTTAGAATCTCCGCCAGGATCCGGAAGTTAGAGTTAGAACACTGTTTTAACCTCTTTCTGGTTTATTTGTGTGTCTGCGTGGATGTTGCCGTGTGTGCACTGTCTTCGAAGCCAGAAGAAGACGGCAGAAGGTCCTGGAGCTGAAGTTACGCTTGTGTGCAAGCTTCCTGACCATGCTAGGAGCTGAACTCTGAAACAGCAGCAAGCACTCTTCACCTCTGAGCCGTCTCCTTGGCCCTCGAGGAAACACGAATTTGAACATAAATGTACTCTCTGTGCAGCTTGGCCCTTACGTAGCTCTAGTGCTTTGGTCTAGCCTGGGCTGACTGGGTGGCCCCACCTCTGTTTTTCTTCTTTTTGCAATGCTGAGTGTTGAGCCCAGGATTTTAAACACAGTAGGCAGAGTGCTCTACCCTGAGCTACAAGCCCAGCTCTGGAAGCATTTTAGGTAAAGGATTCAGAACTGGTACAACTGTATAAACTAAACCAGGGTCATCCTAACCTGGGGGTTTGAACTTTGCTCCTCTTACTTCACAGCAAGTGTTTTTTTTTCTTCCACTGAGCTTCTCCATTGTCCAACCATGAAAAAAATTAAAAGCTATAAACTAGATCACATTTCAAAATGGACCTAGAACCTCCAAGGGGCCCTGGGGCTCAGACTTAGTTTGTTCAAAGTTTCGAACATGATTTTTAGCTGGGCAAAGTGCAGACCACAAACTATCTCCGGCTGACCTCCCAGGCTTGAGGGCCTGGGCCTGGAAAATCACTGGAATGGAGGTGGGGAAGCCCAGCAGGACAGAACTTAGCATTGCTCTGATTCTTTTACCTACATTTCCTTAAGTGCTTCTCACCCTAGCTGTGTAGCTAGAGTTTTCCTGCCTTGCCCACATTCAGGACAAATCTCTCTCACCTGCCAGTCCCACAGCCGCTCAGACCCAACCAAGTAAACATAGAGACTTATATTGCTTACAAACTGTATGGCCGTGGCAGGCTTCTTGCTAACTGTTCTTATAGCTTAAATTAATCCATTTCTATAAATCTATACCTGGCCACGTGGCTTGTGGCTTACCGGCGTCTTCACATGCTGTTTGTCATGGCGGTGGCTGGCAGTGACTCCTTCTGCCTTCCTGTTCTTTCTTTTCTCCTCTCTGTTAGTCCCGCCTATACTTCCTACCTAGCCACTGGCCAATCAGTGTTTTATTTATTGACCAATCAGAGCAACTTGACATACAGACCATCCCACAGTATAGGTGAGCTTGCTTATTCAACTGATAAAACCACCAGGAAATACATACAGGACAGTCTTGCCTCTGCAGGCATCCCTGGTGATGGTCCCTTCCACAGGCTGATGCTTGCAGTAGTGTGGTGAGTGAGGCTTACTGTGCCTGCTGAGCTTATGGCAAACTACATTCCCGGGAAGGAGGTAGCCAAGGCTGCAGTCTCAGCAAAACAGCCAGAGGTCTCTGAGAGCTGGAATGTGATTGGTGCATAGGGGCAGTCGTCTGTCTTGGTCCATTCCTTGCCTGGTTTTCCTAACTGCGACAGCTGTAGGACCTCTGGGACCCTTTCCCTTTTCCCTTCTCTCATTGCTCCCTGTATTCCTGCTTCAGGGTCTTTGCTATGTCCTGCTTGGACCATCTGCCTGAAATGCATTAATCCCAGGTCTGTAGACGTCCTGCCTTCTCTCTGTACTCAGGGCAGCTCAGCTACACTGACAGGCCTCTGCAAAGCAAAGACCAACGTTCCCTTCTCTGCCTGTTCTCCTGAGTTACTTTAATTCTTCATAGCATTAATCACCTTTTAATCTAGTCTTTTGCTTACTTATTATCTTTGCTAGCAGAACAAGGACTTGATGTATGTAATGACCCATGGCATTATAGGCACAGAGTAGCTCAAAAACACTAGGTGCTAGCCTGTGTGTCTGACGTTGTTCAGAAAGCAAGGGCTGGACCTCCAGCAGGCTCGGTACATTCTGTGCACTCCCCCAGCCACAATGCCTCTGCAGCTAATGCTTATAATAAAATTCAGGACACTAAGAATAATGATGGTGAGGAACAGAGCTAGAGGAAAAAGCAAAAATGAGCACATTCAATTTTGATGAGGCAAAGCTTGAGTTTTTAAATTATCCTAACTCAGACGGTCATTGAAAAGTGAAAGTAAAGTTTATTTTTTATGCTTGAGGACAATTTTTTTAAATTTAAGAGAAAAACAGCAGGGTAGACAAGCTATACATTTTGGTAGCTGCCTGGAGGAGGTGGGTGGGTAAGTGGGGGAGAGAAAGTCTTGCTGAAGAACCATGCACATTCTTGATTCTCACTTAAGAAGAAAGTCAGGGCCATGGATGCCTCAGAGGGTGAAAATGATTGCTCTGTCAGCCTGACACCATTTTGATCCCTGGAGCCCATGTTGGAAAGAGAGAACCAACTCCCAACCAAAAGTTGTCCTCTGACCTCCACACAGATGTTGTGGTGTGCCCACACTCACACATCTATACAGGATGATAAATAACATTTTAAAACGCCAATGCCCATTGGCTTTGCAGTGTTTGAGGTCTGTCTGGAACTCAGTCTCACCTTTCAGCTCGCACTATCCATCTTCAGTCTGTCCTGTTCTGTGGCTTCCTGGGAGAAATGTTGATATTCTCATTGTCACAGACTGTGGATGGGGTTGGGCGTGTAGCCCAGTTGGTAGAGTTCTTGCCTAGTGAGCACTGCTTAGACCTGGGGTGACGTGCATACCTGTTGCTTCTCAGGAGGCAGAGGCAGGATGATCCTTAGCTAAGGAGAGTTTATAAGCCACCTGAGTGACAAGAGTCTGACAGCCCCACCCCCTCCAAGAGCTTGCTCCTCTCTAGAGTTTTTTTGTTTATTTGTTTTTGTTTTTTACTGTTGTATAGTTGTTCACAAGGATCAGAACTGTGGCGACTTTGGCCATTTGTGATGGTCAAACTGGCTTTGTGGAGAGTGGCTAAGTGCAGTTGTTCTGTGTCCCCAAACAGGAGGGCTTTTGTTCACGATCTTGTCCTCCCAGAACAGAGGGCTTGTATCTGAGGCTCCATTCTCTGCTGGTCCATCTTCAAAGAGGAGAGTGCTCTGCTGCACTCATCTCTGCCCTGTGCATCTGGAGGAGTCGGAGGTTTGGGCCTGGAATGCTCTGGGGAGATGGTGTGCAGCCATGGGGAGCAGTGGCTCAATCCTCAAGGGTCCTCTGCCACTGTGAGCAGGCCTGTGTTTCCTGGAGGAGGCCCCTCCTTTCTGAAATGTTTCACTTGAGTCTGGTGGGAGTGGGAGCAGACCATCCCCTCAGTCCTGCATCTTTTCCCCACACCTACCATGCTGGCACATCCCTGAGGTCTGCTTCTCACAACTTTACATCCAAAGTCATTGCAGAGATTGGTTTGTGAGTTAGTCTTCCTATGTATGTAACCTTGGCTGGCCTGGTACTTGCCATGTAGTCCAGGCTGGCCTCACATATGTGACTTCTCCCTCTTCAGCCTCCAAAGTGCTGGGATGACAGGTGTACACTGCCACACTATTGCAGGGATTTTTGATTTTTATAAAAAATACATTTTTAGATTTGTTCATTTTATTTTATGTATGTTTTGCATTCATGTATGTGCGTGCATGCATTGTGTACATGCTTGGTACATACAGAGGTCAGAAGACAGCATCTGATCCTCAGGAACTTCGGATTTATGAATGATTGGGAACCACTATGTGGGTGCTGGGAATTGAACTTGGATCCTCTGCAAAGAAACAAGATGCCGCCCCCCCAGCCATCTCTCCAGCTCCAAGATTATTGTTTTGTTTTAAATTTTTTTTATTACAGTAATTTATTGTGTGTGTGTGGGGGGGGGCCGAGGGGTAGGGGGGGCGAGGGTGAGAATGCGTGTGCCATGGTGCTTATGTCGGGGTCAGAGGACAGCTTGTGGGAGTTGGTTCTTCTTCTACCACGTGGGTCCCGGGGATCAAGTTCAGGTTGTCAGGCTTGGCGGCAAGCGCCTTTATTGCTAAGCCCTCTTGCCAGCCCTGATCAGAGATTTTAAATAATTGGCTGAACTCTGGGCACAGGTTTGGTCCGTTTGGTTCTTACAGTGTTATGGTGTTACGTTTGGGTTGTTGTTTGAGACTTGCTTTGTTTATTAGACAAGGTTGGTGAACTTCTGAACCTTCTGCCTCCACGTCTTTAGTGGTGCTGGGGGTTAAACCCAGGGCTTCCTGCATGCTGGGCAAGCACTCCACCAACCGAAGCATGTCCTCAGACCCCTAGTGTTAAATTCTGTGCTAGTTGCAAACATCAAGGGATGCCTTTCACATTTGGACCTTTGGACTGTTTAGCCAGTGCGGTGTGGTTCTGATCATTTCTCCTTCCCATCCTCCTTTTTCTTCCACAGGCCAAAGACCTTGTCATTACACCAGCCACAGTCTTAAAGGAAAAGCCAGACCCCGACTCTCTGGTGTTTGGAGCTACGTTTACCGACCACATGCTGACGGTGGAGTGGTCCTTGGCATCTGGATGGGAGAAACCTCACATTAAGCCTTTTGAAAACTTGTCTATACATCCTGCTGCCTCGGTTTTACACTATGGCGTGGAAGTAAGTGCTTGCGAGCTGGCGGGGGCTGGGATTCTCCTCCTTGCAACTTTCTCTGGGCTGGGAAAGGCTCTGCTGTCTTTACTGAAGGTTGCCATAGATGTCTTCAGATTTCTCCTGCAGCCAAATGGATTGAAGATAAATCTAAGAACTAACTTCACAGACTGTCTTGGTTTATCTGTGGTGCTAGTGTAAAGAATGTCTCTCTCTCTCTCTCTCTCTCTCTCTCTCTCTCTCTCTCTCTCTCTGTCTGTCTGTCTATCTATCTATCTCTCTATATCTATCTATCTATCTATCTATCATCTATCTCTCTCTATATCTATCTATCTATCTATCTATCTATCTATCTATCTATCTATCTATCATCCATATATATATAAACTTAGATCGCATAGGAAGGATAGTTAGGAAAATTAGAAGTCCAAGAGCCCACACCAAGCCAGGTGTGGTGGCCATGACTGCAATCTCAGCATTTGGCAAGCTAAGCAGGGTGTCTGACAGAAGGTTCAAGGCTAGCCTAGACTACACAGTTCATTCCAGGCTAGCCCAGGTGGGCCATAGAATGACACCTCAAGGAACCCCAAAGCCATGACTATTTTGTTAAGTTCCCTCTTTCTTAGATCGTTGAGTGATTGAGAAAGGTCATAGGATGAGATGCCTGTGCTCACTGCTGTCATGTTACCAGGCTGTGGTTTTGCCTAGGATAGGGTGGGGTTGAATGTGCTCCTTCATGCTTGAGTGATTGGAGAATCCACTTCCTGGCCGTCGGCAGATACACAGTCAATCACATCTGCAGAACACTGCCCCCTTCCCTCGCCCCTACATTTCATTTTATGGGATAGCTTTTCCCAGAATATTGAAGGTGCTAGAGATCTACCAAGGGATTGAAAAAGGACCATAGGAAAAAATATCAATAGCTATGATAAAATAACCATTTCCGAATACTGAATTCCAATGCTGTGCTTTCTAGAGAGCTTGTACTTTATAGATCATTCTTATTGAATTATTTGTGTGTAGAGTTCAGATTTCCCACCTTACCTTGGAACCCACTCATTTAATGAGTGTGCATCAGTGTTCAGGGCTGGAGAGAGGGCTCCGTGGTTAGCAGCACTTGCTGCTCCTGCAGAGGACCAGAGTTCAGTCCTCAGCACCCATTTTAGGCAGCTCACAGCTCAGTCTCCAAGGAGATCAAATGCCCTCTTCATGCCTCTGGGCAAGCACACACACACACACACACACACACACACACACACACACACACACACACACAGAGAGAGACATGGACATACATACAATAAAGGAATCTTAAAAAAAAAAACAAATATTTCAGTTTAAATTGAGGGTCTAGAGGCGGACAGGGATGGGGTTCAAGTTCTGCCTCAGGTGCTCCTGGAGGGTTATGGAACTTGGGAAGTACAGTCATTTATGATTTAATACTTTTGTTTAAGTTGGGTACTGATATTACCTTTAGTTTTTTCATTACATTTATTGTGTTGGGGGGGGCATTCCACGTCTGCATGTGGACATCAGAGGATAACTCGTGGGAACTGGCTCTCTTTTCTAAGTGGGTGTCTGTTCTCGACCTTCGGGTGTGAGACTTAGCAGCAAGGCCCTTCACTTGATGACCCTTCCCGCCCACCCTGTAGAGGATCTGTGTTCTTAAAAGTGTAAGATCAGGAACTGCACTCAAGGCGGTAGGGCAGGGGTGCTCAGATTCGGGTGCTGCAGCCCTTCAATACAGTCCTCACGCTGTCACCCCGCCCCGAAACAAAATGGTCTTGTTGCTACTTCATAACTAATTCTGCTACAGTTATGAATCACAATGTAAATATCTCATGTACAGGATATCTGAAATTTGACCCCTGTGAAAGGGTCATTCAATCCCCGAGGGGTTTCCACCCCCAGGTGGAGAACCACGGCTGTAGAGCCCTGCCTGGTGCCAAGGGAAAATGCATGTGATAACCCAGTCTATGCAGTTCCATACTTTAGAGTGAGTGACTTAAGCATGCAGCAAGCACAAAGTCAAAGCATGGATAGCAGCTCCAAAGACTCGGCAGACAGATAGCAAAGCATGCTCAGGTTGAGGCGCTCATAGCATCTGGAAGAGACAGCCTGGGTAGCCCCATTGAGAAAACAAAAGTCACACCATTAAATTGGTGCTCACAGCACCCTGGAAAAGGGACTGGGGGTGTCTTTGTTCAGACACCCTGAGTGCTGCAGAGCTGGTCTGATCATGGGTTGGGAGTCATGGCCTCGGGGGTCTGCTGGAGTTCCCAGCTGAAAGCAGGCTGATCTGTCCTTGAACCAGCTTCTGGCTTCGGATTCCCACCACAGACATTTTTAAACGTGGGATAAATAGTGGTACTGTTTTACTTTCCAGCTCTTCTCAAGGACACAGTGTTTTTTGCTGTTTTCTTTGCTCTCCATCACAGGGTGAGGGTGTGCCCACTCCAGGTTTGGAGGACACTTGGGGTAAACACCCTTGGGTCTGAAGTGAGAGGGGCCAGCCTTGCCTGGAGAGTGAGCTACTTAGTGAGCTCAGAAGCATGCTGCTGCCCTTTACTGCTGGTGTCCATTGCATGACCCCCGACCCAGTGGTGTCCTCTGTTCCAGAGGCCATCAAAGCAAATCCCTGGCACCTGTTGTTTTCTAAAGATGGGTCTCCTGTAGCCTAGGCTGGCCTCCAGCTTATAGCTGAAGTTGGCCTTGAACTCCCAATTCTGCCTCTACCTCCCAGGTGCTAGGATTACAGGTGTGTACCACCCGCCAGGTCGAGCGGGTCTAAGTTTCTCTCCCAACTGACTCCTAGTTGATGCACTGGGCTGAGTTCTTAGGCTGTTCATGCCAAGCCCTTTGCCTCAAATGGCGGGTGAACTGACCATTTCAGAAAAGGCTGCCGGTAACCTGGTGGCTTCTAGGACCCTGATTCTCAGACTTAACACTCAGAATTACAGTGGGTTTCTGATTTCCATTCCTTTTTGAATCTATGTAACCTAAATGCACAGGCACCATAGGCTGAGGACTGCTGGCCTGCAGGAAACGAATTAGGAAGAATTAACGTTGTTTTTGAAGTTTAAAGATTTGGGGTTTTGAAGTAGATCAACTGAAATTCCAGCTTGACTTTTTTATATTATTATTATTATTATTATTATTATTATTATTATCATCATCGGTGGCAGGTTGGCTTCCAACTCATAACAATCCTCCTGCTTCAGCCTCCCAAATGCTGGGATTGCAGTTAAAAAATAACAGGTCTGGGGACGTAGATCAGTGTTCAAGCACTTACCTCACGTAAATAAAACCCTGTGTTCCACCTCCAGCCTGAAAACATAAGAGAAAACAAAAATAGTCCTCAAATTAGAGTTGTTCTGTCAGAGCGAAAGCCACAACCTTTCCCGTATTATGACCTAATAAAAACAGAGCGCTCCTTTCTTTATGAGGCTTCGTAGCTAGACTAAGTTACCAGAAGTGTCTTCATTAAGACCTAGTGTGGACCCGACACTGCTGGGGTGACTGAGAACCCGAGACTAGATAACCCAGGGACCTAGGGTAAAACCAAATGTGACTGTTCTAAAAGAAGTAGCAATAAAATGACTCCTCCTTAGAGAAGCTTCCTCCTCCAGCAGATGGGAACACATACAGAAACCCACAGGCAGACATTATGTAGAGAGTGAGAGACCTTGGAACACTCAGCCCTAAATGGGATGTCTCCATCAAATCCCCTCAGAGCTCAGGGGACAACCACCCCCGCCCTCACTCCCGCCCTCCTCACTCCACCCCCCCCCCAAAAAAGGAGGCAGAAAGAGTGTAAGAGGGGATGGAGGACCCCAGGAGAACAAGACCCCCTAAGTCAACATGAGCAAAGCTCATATGAACTCACAGAGACTGAGCAGCATGCACAGGTCTGCTGCACCAGGTCCTCTGTGTTTATATTTTGGCTTCCAGTTTAGTGTTTTTATGAGATTCCTGAGTGTGTGAACGAGTGGGTCCCTGATTCTTGTGCCTTCACATGTTTTCCTTCTGTTCATTTTGTCCAGTTCTGATGTGTTGTTTTTTGTTTTATCATGTTGTATTTTATTGTTATCACTTGGAAGCCTGTTTTCTAATGAGAGACAAAAAGGGAGGTGAGGTGAGGGGGAATTGGGAAGCGAAGGAGGAGGAGAAACAATCAGGATATATTATGTGAGAAAAAAATCTATTTTCAATAAAAGAAAAAGAAACTAGATTGAGGGTGGGGATGCAGCTCAGGGTAAAGGCTCCTCTGTTGTCACACAGGAAGCTCTGGGTTTGAGCACCACACTCTTGGGCAGGTGGTCCTGACCAGCCTTGATGGAGACACGAGGGGCCACTGAAGCAGACAGAGGCTCAGGGCCACTGGGCAGGGGCTGCTGGGAAAGTACATATTTGGATTCCATCTAGAAAGGAAGTTTGTGATCCAGGTGTGCATGGCCCTTGGCCTTTTGCCTACTTGCCCAGCTGTGGAGTGTAGTTACTGGGATCTGAGGGCAGCAGGAGTTCATTTACAAGTCCCTGAAGCAGTAGTTTTCCATCGCGTGCCCTTGTCCAGGCTTTCGGGTGAGTCTTTGTTCTCCTGGGAACGTTCTTGTGCATGGAGGCAGGTGTGTGGTGTGTGAAACACAGCTCTGGTCCAAAGGCAGTAAGAGGGAAGGTTATCCTGAGTCCACAGTGGCCATGGCCTGGGCACATGGAATCAGGTCGCCCTGAATGACATGGCTCCACCATGAAAGTAGCTACATGAACCTTTCATAGTCACAGGACAAGTCACCAGTCAGGGCACATACAGAAGGAACTGCTGGCGACATTAGTCAGCGCCTTATAAAATGTACTGATTGGGACATCAGGGAGCAGGCTCAAGAAGTCCTGCCATCCGATGATGTTCTCAGCTTCTGGTTTATGATCTCTTGATAGTGATTCACGAAAGAATGTGAAGTTAGAACACAAGTGGGTAATTAATGGCTATGGAGATTGAAGATAATGCAGGGTGATTGGGCTCTGGATCTACAACATTCCAACTCTCCACAGTTATGGAATGTTCTGAGGGATCATCAGCTTTATGTCTGTTTTTCAGAGAACTGAAGTTCACAAATCTTTCCTTCTCTCTCTCTCTCTCTCTCTCTCTCTCTCTCTCTCTCTCTGTCTGTCTCTGTCTCTCTCTCTCTCTCTGTCTCTCTCTCTCTCTCTGTCGACCTTGCTTGTCACTCTTTAGACACTTTCTACCTTGTTCTCTAATCCAAGGACTCAGTGACTTGGGACTGAGGTTCGGCTGGCTGTCCAGCAAGCCCCGGAGATCTGTCTGTCCCTCGAGCTGGGATTACAAGCCTGAACCACCATGCCTGGCTTTGATTACGTGGATTCTGGGACTTGAACTCAGGTCCTCATGTTTACTTGTGTGTATCTATGTGCGTGTGTGTGTGTGTGTGTGTGTGTGTGTGTGTGTGTGTGTGTGTGTGTTGCCATGGTGCACCTGTGGAGGTCAGAGGACAATCCACAGGAGTCAGTTTTCTCCTCGCATGGGTTCCGGGGTTTGAACTCAGGTCATGGAGGCAATCATCTTTATCTGTTGAGCCATTTTGTCTGCTCATCATTATTTTATTATCAGTTCTCTAGTAAGCATCATTTTAATATTTTGTGTGACGAAACAGCTACTCCACAGCACTCCACAGCTTCCTTTGGTGTGCTGTGGCCTTAGGGGAAGCAACCTCACCTTGGCCAGGAGTTTGTGAGTCAAACTAATCACATTTCTTTCACGGACACTGTTTTTACTTGAAAGGACATGATATAATTACTTTGATTGGGGCATTTAGCAGATGTTCCCTTGAGGAAAAAACACCAATGCCATTTTGGGTGCATTGATGAACATTTGTTACCAGTGGTTTCCTTCTTTCTGGAGGGATTAGTGGAATTTGGAGAGCTAGTGATGTAGGCAGTTGGTAGAGTAGATATTTGCATGCACACAGCCCTGGGATCAATCAATACTTGGTACCGAGAGAAAGAGGAAGAGGCCCAGAGAGGTGTCCCAGTGGTTAAAGTACTTCTGCCTGTGGAGAAGACCCCGGTTCATGACTGCTCACAACCACCTCTACCCTTGTTCCCCGGGACCAGGACCCTTTTCTGGCCCCTGAACACACTAGGCAGACACACTCATATACGTTAAAATAAATTGAAAAGAGGAAGGAAAAGAAAGAAATTAAAAGAATTTTCTGTCAGGTTGACTGAGCTCTGAGCAGGCTGTTGATGTCAGCCTTTGGAGGCTGACCCACCTACCTCTCTCAGTCACTGGTTTTTCCAAACCACTGAACATTACAGATTGATAAATAAAGATATTGTAAGGGCGAGGACTCCTCTGAGGGCATCTTGATGTGCCAGATTAACCTGATCAAGTCCCTGGACTGTAGATGTAACCAACCGTCTTATTAAATAAGAAACACAGAACCAATGTAAAGAAGAAAGCCAAGAGGTCAGAGCTCAGAGTTAAAACCTTACCCTTCCTCCTGCGGTGCTCCTACCTCTCTGAAAGAGACCTACTTCCTATGTGTTTATCTTTATATAGTCTTTCTGTTCTGCCTTCTCATTGATTGTAAACCCAAACACATGACTGCCTTGTCACTGCCTGTCTGTAGAGACTTCCAGGTCTTCTATGGTATTGAGATTAAAGGCGTGTGCCACCACCGCCATGCTCTTGCTATGGCTCTAATAGCTCTGACCCCCAAGGCAACTTTATTTATTAACATACAATTAAAATCACATTTCAGTACAAATAAAATACCACCACACTGGACTTCTCTTCATTTCCTTCTGGTGAGACAGGACTTCTAGGGTGTCTCATTGTGAGCCTAGAGGGTAGTGGGGAGCAGTGGTTACCCTGTTATGGGTGCACACCTTCAGTTGTTCAGTCGTCCATGAAGCTGGCACTGTCAGGAAGAAATCTTGGCATGTGTGAGTTAAGTCCCCATCAGGTGGTAAGGTGGTCAGAGCAGTCCTGTATGAGCAGGACCTTGAGAAAGGACTGTCTCCAAAAACTAGACTAACAGTTGGTCCCTCCCCTCCTTCCCTTCCCCATCCTCGTTCTCAGCTCCTGGCCAGCAGTGGGTAGAGGTGGTATCAGTACGCTTTGGGTATCAGTACGCTTTGGATCTTCCCTTCCTGATTGTCCATCAGGTCGAGTACTGAAAGGAGGACCCCTTTCCTCCCCTTCTCTCCCCCATTGCGCCCCCTTCCCCGCCCCCCTCCATTCCAGTTATTCTAACATGTTCAATCAACTGTTCATCTGAAGTTGAAGCCAAGGGCAGCAACTTCACCACTAAGATTGTCTTCAGTCACCTCCTGACACCTTTCTCTCTTCCTCAGCTGTTTGAAGGCTTGAAGGCTTTTCGAGGAGTCGATAACAAGATCCGATTGTTTCGGCCTGAACTCAACATGAAGAGAATGTGCCGATCTGCTCTGCGGGCTACTTTGCCGGTATGCACATTGGTGTTCACTTCTATTTCATGAGTTGTTCCAGTCTTACATCAAAAACAAAACAAAACAAAAACCTTTCCTGAATAATTGCATCAGGTTTTCCACAAACTTCATGAAGGCCGACATTATCTATGCAATGCCCTTCTGTTAAAGGTCAGAGGACACCTTGCAAGAGCCAATTCTCTCAACCACATGGTTTGATGGCAAGTGCCTTAACCTGCTGAGCCATTTTAAGGCATTTATTGTACATTTTAATGCCTTTGTGTAGAGAGGAAAATTAAAACTCAGCCTAGGGGAAGTAAACCACTTGTCTGTGGTCACTCAGGAGGGTGAGAAAGCAGGCTGAGGTTTCTTTGATTTCCCAGCCAAGTATTCATGGCATCGATTAAACTTCATCTCTGGCCAGCTGCACCCACGACTTGGCTTGTTGACATGGGTTGGCAGTGTCGATGGTCACCCTAGTGTCTGGCATCCCTGCACTGTGATCATGGGGGAGGGTCAGCCCCTCAGCTAGTGGGTGGTGCTGCTCTACCTTGTGTAGCTCTTCCTATCTCTGAAAGGGTCCCTCTCTGGCCTGTGGCCATGAGGAAACTGCTCGAACATTTTACAAAGCCTGTTTTGTAACCCATGGGTTAAGGGGACATCCCCCGAGGGATCAGCTGCCCCTTGTCTTTCTGACCAGTGTTCAGGATGTCATAACATGCACTGGTGACATTCCACACCGGTGTCCCACAGCAGCTTCTGGTCTTGAAAAACCAGGAGTCCTTAAATTTCAAACATGCAAATTTTATCTCTATTTTTCCTTCATGGTTTGTGTTATGTTTTTCCTGGGTAAGAAGTTGTTTTGGGCCTTAAAGTTGCAGATTTCATCTATTCTAAAAACAGAAGTCATGATGTTTTGTTATACTTGTTCATAATATCCAGTTATAATTGAGAATATAAGAGGCCACAGATGTCAATTTTTAAATAGAAGTCCTAATATTTTGTTAGATTTGAGTATAAAATCCAATTATAATTGATTTAGGAGTTTGAGGCCACAGACGTCCATTTTAAAATTAAAAAAATCGTAATTTGTTACATTTGAATGTAAAACCTAATTATAACTGATGTGGGAGTGTGGTAGAGAGGGATCTAATTTCTTTATCAAAAATCTCATTTATTTGTTTGTTTATTTGGGGGGAAGGAGGCAGTGTGGAGTTCAGAAGTCAGCTTTGCCTTCTCTACTCCGTGGGTTCTGGGGATCAACTCAGGTCATCGGGCAGCGATAACACGTGTCTTTACATGCTGAGCCATCTGAGGCCTCAGGAGATCTGATTTTTTATCTTTTCCTTATGAATAATTCACACTTACATAATTTTCTATCTTGTTAAAGGGTCCACAGATTTTTTTTAAGTGTTTGTTACGGATACCTTTCGTGGTGTTTCATGTTGGGGAGAATGAATAGAAGTTGCTTGTTCAGGAGCTGACCAGGACTGTAAGACGGGAGCCGTCTTGGAAACAAGAGTTTCTGTTGGCTCTCTGTTGAAGGTCTGCATTGGCGTCCTTGGTTGGTGTTCATTAGGGATTCTGTCTTTTCAGGTGTTTGACCAGGAGGAGCTTCTAGAATGCATTCGGCAGCTGATACAGATAGACCAAGAGTGGGTCCCCTATTCCACCTCTGCCAGTCTCTACGTCCGCCCCACATTTATTGGGACTGAGGTAAACCTGACTCTATTTGGGGGAAGGATTTTATGATTAAAAAGCTTTTCAAAAATTATGGTCTGTAGAGCGAGATCCAGGACAGGCACCAAAACTACACAGAGAAACCCTGTCTCGAAAACCGCCCCCCCCCCCCCCCAAAAAAAAAATTACCTATTTTGCGTATGTGCACAAGTGAGCATGTGTGCCACGGTGTGTGTGGAGGTCAGAGACCATCCTGGGAGCTGGTTCTGAAGTAATCCTTATGAGCAGAGGACGCCCCAAAACCAAGTTGTCAGCACCAAGGAGATCAGTTTGCCCCAGAGAGACAGAGTCAGGGAATAAGAGGCAAAGAGATAGAGGACGAGGGAGAAGGGGGAGGGATGTCCTGGGGTGGTATGGCGACCCAAAGGTCTGCCTCTGGATAGAGAGGAGACAGACACGGCCCATAGGCAAATGGCGGTTTATAAAGGGAACGGGGAACCTTGGGTTAGGATGGGGTGTTTGATTGGGCATGTTAATTGGGTGAGCCAAAGAGGGGCTTTTGCTCTAATACTGTGATAGCTGGACCTTGGTAGTCAACCTCAGGAGGAGGAAGTGGCCAGATAAGGGAGTGGACCTTGGTGGCTGGCTTTAGGAATGTGGTCTAAGGGTTTTTTAGTAAGGCAGAGGGAAGAGGGAGAAGGATGCAACCTGGGCCATGCTTGCTGCATCCTGGCTGGCTAGAGTTCCCTCAGGTTCTCCCTTCTACTGTGTGGGTTCTGGGGATGGAATCGGGTTCTTGTGCTCAGCAGCAAGCGGCTTCCTCTTCACTGAGCCGTCTTGTGCGAGACTGAAGCCGGGGATGAGCACTGTTGCTCAGCTTAGCCTCCGACATGCCTCTTTCTTGATCCTTCAGTATGTGGTTTGAGTAATGCCCCCCCTCCCCATCCCAGTTCCGTTCATCCTCCCAACTGTGAAGGCCATCCTTCCTGTGGAAGATGAGATAGCAGATATTCTAGGTTTGCGGGGTGACGGTTTGTCACCATCAAATCGGTAACTAGGCAGTTCACTCAGGACTAACTGAAGGGAAAGGCATGGTGATGTTTGCCCTCCCCTGATCAAGACTAGTCCGAGCTTGCAGGGGTGTGCCTCCCCCATGACAGACCTCTGGGTGTGGATGTGACCGTGCTGTAGAGGTTATGGGAGAGGGCTTGGTTTTATTTTCATTTTCCTGAATTCTCAGCATCTCTTGGTAAAGAATGGGAAGAGAGGGTCCCAGTCCAAAGAACAATTACTGAAAATGTAATTCATGAGGAGCCTTTGGGAGCTGGAAGGGAGGGACGGTTTGAACAACAAAAGGGTTGAGGGGTGGGCCTAGCTTGTTGGCAAGTGTCCCTACCCCCTGAGCTGTCCTGCCAGTCCCACTTTTTATAAGATAAATGTATTGCAGATGGTTTCCCTGTCTGTTACTGGCATCTTTTGAGAAACAAGCATTTAGTTGTTTTCAGATTCATTCATTTCAATTTACGCATGTTTCACCTACATGTATGTGTACTTACCACATGTGTGCTTGGTGCCTCAGGAGGCCAGAAGAGAGCATTGGATCACCTGGAACTGGATGGCTGTGAACTGCTATATGGGTGCTGGGAACCGAACCCAGGTCCTTTGTTTCTCTGTGTAGCCCTGGCTGTCCTGCACTTGCTCTGGAGACCAGGCTGGCCTTGAACTCAGAGTCCTCCTGCCTCTGGCCTCCCAAGTGCTGGGATTAAAAGCCTGTGACATCTCACCTGGCTCCTGAGGCTTGAATTCCTGATCCTCCTGCAAGTGCTAGGGTGGCAGGCTTGGGGTGACCCACCGGACTCAAACGTTTAGTATAAAGTTATTGTTTGCATTTTGTGGTTTCTGTGCTTTGTGTTTTAAAGGCTTCCTCTCTTGGTCATTCTTCTGTTCTAAAGTTTCTATTTCCTTTAAACATCGTCCATATGGATGTGGACTTTGTGCTGAAGAACTCGCTTTCTCCATGTAGACACCAAGTTGTCCAATCCATCCCCTGGCTGGCCTGTTTTTCCACGTTGATTGCAGCGCCTGCTCACAGCACATCAGGGTTTCATTGAGAAAGTCGAGGGCTTTCTACCACGTTTGCCCTTTAAGAACGAGAGTGTGGTTTCTTGACACGTGTGCCCTGCTGTGGGCCTTCTTTCAGTGTTGGGCCCTTGTTCACCTGACCTGTTGGTCTCTGCCCCCTCACACACTCAGCTGTGGTTATTGGCCTCTCTGAAGATTCTTAACTGTAGAAGTTAGTGTGGGGCTTGGCCTGTTGTTGACAAGACTTCCTCTGGGGAGATGCAGCACACGTCTACTTACCCCAGATAGGGAGCCCATGACCGACTGAAGTACGGAGACTGTCAAAGCCCACCTTGGTGAACCAGTGAGCTTTATTGTTCTGTACAGGAATATGGGGCAGGGGTTACTCGCAGGGGCAGAAATGACCTGAGACAGCTGCATCACCAAATCCCAGCACAGATGACAGCTCACAAAAGCCGGGGCCTGGAGCACAGTCTGCGGGCAGATTAAGAGGTGGAGAATGTCCTTTCCAAGTCTGGTCTAAATCTCTTCTAAGCAGATGGGGGGTTGCTTCTTCCGGCAGCTGGTCTGGCCTGAGAGTCGTCTTTGTAGCTTAGCTTTTCTGAGAGGAACCCTCAGCTTTTATTGCTTATTCTGGCAGGGACCGGCCTAGTGAATCTGGTCAGGTTCAGGGACCTTCTGAAGCTGTTTCAAGTTGTTTACCTAAAAGCTAAAGAAGCATCCCTGATGGATGGGATGTTGGAGGATGCTGTTACACAGCACCTTGTTTGTTCTTCACTGCATTTGTCGTTGAGACAAGGTCTCATGTATTCCTGCTAGCTGAGAATGTACCTGAGAATGAGACTACCTTGATTGTACCGGGTCGGCCTTCCCAGTGCTTGGGCTGCAGGTTTGAGCACAGTGCTTGCCACCCCACCCCCATCCTGCCCCGCCTTTTTGAGGGTCAGGGTCTCACCCTCTCTCTCCGACCAACCTCAAATTTACGGTAAACCTCCTGCCTCTGCCTCCAGAGTGGGATTGCAAGCGTGCACCCCCACATCTGGCTCTGTGTTTGCTCTCTCTTCCTCTCGGCACAGCGCTTGAGCTGGTAGGTGGAGCGGCATCGTCAGAGCTGTGGGGGGATCCTGGCTGAGGAGACTCCTAGTCCTGTGGACCACCTCTTGCTGCGCCGCCCTGTAGCTCGGAGCAGGCTCCAGCAGCCCCATCCGTAACAGGCCAGACAGAAAATAAATAGCCTTGGTTTTGTAGGCCACTCAGCCCTGTCCTGTCAGTAGAAAGCAAGCAAGCACATCCCATCACACTGGAAAGGAAGGAGCAGGCTGACAGGCGGGGGGGCCAATAATGACATGTCCGTGGGTGACATGCTGTGTTCTCCTCTTGACTATTTCCCAGAGTCCCTGTGCACTTGACCATGTGGACATTTCTGCTTAGGACTGATTTTAAATTTCCCAGCCAGTGTATCTCAGGTCCTGCTACCACGGTCTGTCTTCTCCTAAGTGCTCATTTTCGCAGTTTCAACACTGAGTGTCGAGCTCTGGGACCACATCCCCTGTCATTTATGTCACCATGTCACCGTTGGCTTCATTTCCATGTGACCTGAGTGGCTGGGGGTGAGACCTTGATTCAGGAATGCAGGAGGCAGCTTTGCTCTGTAGGAGCTGAGGCGAGCAGCATGGGAGATGAAGGAGGAGGAGGAGGACAAGGTGGAGGTCTTCCTGAATTCCAGGGCTGCATCTGGGCACTCCGGGCTGTGTTGGGCTGGCATCTGTGAGGTGTCTTTAGCCCAGCAGTTAAGCCACAGAGGAAAAGGATGCAGTACTTATATAGAGATGCCAGGTTTCTCTGTCCTTCTCTGCTCACTCGGTGGGTCATTTGTGGAGTCACTGTTCTCAGAAGTGACTTTCAGAGTTCCTGAAATGTAAGCCAGGTTATCTGTTATCACCTGAACCCACAGAGCAGAGCTATGATCTATGGCAAACCTGTGGGAGGCCACCAATGTATTGCTCAGCTGGGTGACCTTCAAATGTAGTGACTTTTGTATGAGACAAGGTCTCATGTATCTCAGATGGGCCTGAACTCACTATGTAGCTCAGGCTGGCCTTGACTGTACAGTGATCCTCCTGCCTCAGGCTCTCAAGTGTTTGAGATTACAGTTGCATGCCATGGTGCCTGCCTCTATACATTTTCTGTAAAGAATGTCTTACTAAGGTTCAGTTGTCTTTCCACAAATACTTGATAAAAACCTGGAGTGACAGGGCTGGAGAGATGGCTCAGTGGCTAAGAACTCTTGGCTCTTGCAGAGGACTTGAGTTTAGTTTCCAACACCTATATGGCAGCTCACAACCATCTGTATTTCCATTTCCAGGGCATTCGAAGCCCTCTTCTGGCCTCTGCAGGGACCAGGCACACACACAGTGCACTTACACACATGTAGGCAAACACGTGGAGTAAAATGCAAGATGAAATGATCCTGCACTTTATGGAGCTCACTGGTTATCGAAACGGAGGGAAATAGTAGCTGTAAGATGACTGCACATTAGTCTACACTGGACAAGCAGGGTGCTGGAGCGGCAAGTCCCACAGGCCTAACTCAGGCGAGGGGCACTTGCTCCCTGAAATGACACCTCCATGATGTATAAGATGGGGTGGAAGTGCTTAGATGGGGTGAGATGTGTCTTAGCATGGTTGGTTACTTTGTCACAGCGAGTTAACTAACTATCCCGTCACTGTGGATAAATACTGTGACCAAAAGCAGCTTGGGAGTTTCTTTCAGGTTACCTAAGGCTCCTGGAGGAGAGAGTTTGTCAAGGCAGGGAAGGTGTGGCAACGGGCAGAGAGAAAGGTGGGGGTCGGGAAGTTGGCTGATCACATTTTCATCCACTAGGGAAGGGGGAGGGAGGTGGTTGGAAACATAGGAGAAGGGATCAGAACATAAACCCGCAAAGCCCTGCTGC